GAAATCATCAGTTTAGCATTTTCCAAAGTATGTTCCAAGACCAATTTAGATTCACATGGCACTATGCTGAGAACAAAAATATTCAGTTGTCAAATAAGTTTGGGAAACAGAGCATATCCACAGCTCAGAGAGCCATGAAACGATAGGCTCTTTGAGGGGCTATGTAAAGAATCTGCTTAATTTTAGTACACTGGTTCCCAGATGTATGTGATAATAGAGCCTTCCCCTTTCTGCATACTGCCTGTCAACCTGCTATGGAATTGGAATTCCATGGGTCGTGCACTGGGAGGTTGGACACAAGACCGATGTCCCCTTTTTCTATATGGAAAAGCTGGGACCCAAAGGAGTGAAGTTATTTGCCCACAGTCGCAGAAGCCATGGGAGGTAGACATAGGAACAAAACCCAATATTTAGGATTATTAGTTCTCAGTTCTTTCTCCCCTCTTCTTCTTCACCTGGCCTCATCTAAAGGAATTGTCCTCCTTTAAATCTGTAGGGATCTCTTTAAGACAACAGCTGCTAAGAGACAGGCTCCCAGGGGAAATCATACTTTGTCAAATATCCTACCAACATGGAAGGGTTCTTTTATACTAGGGGCCTCACGATCTACAAGATCACAAGTGACAAATGGGGAGAACAAAGGAAAGTCAACCCCTTAGCATGTGTTGGCTCCTCAGAGTCAGTGCTTGGAGATCAGATGCGATATTCTTAGACCATTCATTTTTCTATTTGCCCAGTCACAGGCCATCAGGAAATGACACCAAGTGTACCAGTTATCTATTATTGCAAAACAAATTGCCAAAAAACCTAGTGACTAAGGACCACAAACTTTTGTTATATCTCACACATTTTTGGTGGAAATCTGGGAATTGCTAAGATGTGGGATTCTGGCTTAGTCTCTCATGAGGCTGCATTTACAATATCAGCCAGGGATATGGTCGTCTGAAGATCTAACTGGAGCTAGGCATCTTCTCTTGGGACAGCTCACTTACAAGCCTGGAAAGTTCATTCTGCTTTTAGCGGAAGTCTTTGTTCCCTGCCTTGTGGACTGCTTGCTATGAGGCTGCTTGAGTGGCCTCATGACAGATACAGGGGCTTGCTCCAGAGGGATTAGTCCAAGCACAGAGAAGGCCACTGTGCTTTTATGACCCTGTGATGGTCTGAGTATGCTCTGTCCCTTCCAAAACTCGTGTTGAAATCTGATGCCCATGTGATGATGTTGGGAGGTGGTGGAAGCTTCCAGAGGTGTTTGGGTCATGAGAGCTCTGCCCTCACACAGGAGTAAGTGCTGTCTCGTGACACGGTTAATTTTGGAGGGAGTGAGGGAGTCCTCACTCTCGAGGGCCTGTATCAGTTATTGTGAGCACGAGTTGTTATAAAGTGAGGTCCTTGTGTTTTGTTTCTGTTGTACTTGCTGGCTGCCTTGTCCACCCTCCCACCCAATGTGTTATGTTGCAGCATGAGGTCCTCACCAAGCCTTGAGTAGATTCTGGCACCATGTTCTTTGGGTTTTCAGCCTCCAGAATCATGAGCTAAAGCAAACTTCTAACCTTTGTGAGTTATCCAGTCCCAGGTTTTCTGTCATAGTGGAGACAGTGGACTAAGACAGACATGGTCCCCAGCAGTTACACACCATCACTTCTGTCATAGTATTTCCCAGGGGGATTCAACATGGGTGAAAGGAGAAGGAGTCACTTTGGACTAACTCAGAGAAAAAACAACTAAAAACACAGGTAACTGGAAGAAAGGGAGGGACATACATCCTTATGCCATAGTATTTATCAGAACGAGCCACTATCTCTGTCTCATACTCAAAGGGTGGGGAGTTAGATTCTCCCTTTTGTTGAAAAAAGTATCTAAGAACTTGTGGATGTGTATTAAAACCGCCACACCTACCGCCTGCCTCGCAAGCCCAAGGACCCGAGTTCAATCCCCAGTACCAAACAAACCAAACAAAACAAAGCCTTGTTTTAGGGGTTTAGCTCAGTGGTTCTGCTGCCTACTCCATTCCAAACAAACAAAAAAACAAACAAAAAACACCAAAAAAGAAAAGAAAACAAAACACACCACCCAAGAAAGAGTTGCAAAGGTGAACAATGCTTGTTAAACAGAAAACAAAACCAAAAAACATTTTGAGAGTGAAAATCCATTTAAGGTAAGAGCAAATGCTAATTAGAACCCTAAAAGAGACCAGGAATTTAAATTTACATGGGAGTTCAAGGCCAGCCTGAACTACATAGCAAGACCTTGTCTCAAAACAAAAAAATTACATGGGACCTAAAGTTCCAATTTAAATCCTGGGCACAAATATCCTTGATTTTCTTGTAATAAAAAACTTCTGAATAAAGGAATTCCTCTGAGGAAAACATCTACTGCTGGCACTGTGATTAGGAGAATGGATGAAGGACTTGAATCAAGAACAAGCAATTCAGAGAGGCTATCCAATGTTTTGACTTGTATCTTTCCAAGTTAACGTTTCTTAAGCCTTTGAATTTCTAAGTGTTGCAATATCCCAACATGACCAAGGGAGTCAAATTCCAGCGCTAGTCTTCACATCTTTTTTTCTGAAGGTTGTATTCTCTCTATGCTGTCTAAAGCAAGATATCATGATCTAATTGCCTAAGAATTTATTTCCAAATAGTTGTTGATAGACTCTGAAAGTCTCAGAAATATCAGACAGATCATATTCCTCCTTTGCTTAAGTTTGTTTTTATTAAAAAAACAAAACTATGATCCCCAAGAACTTTTCTCTGTGGCACCTGGTATATAGTCAATCAACAAGCATTTTTTTTACATATGCTAAAGTGAAGAGTTTCCCTAGGACTCCTATTTGGGAGCTAAACAGAAAACATGTGCAGATAAGTACAATAATCACAAAAGTGGGATTGAGAGAGAGAGAGAAATGGGCTGAGGCTACAGTCTAGGCAGTTAGGAGACAAGGTAGATTTATTAAGAAAAATGTCCTAGAAAAAATAAACTTAAAGCTGTTCTAAATATTTGAGGGTTATATGAGCAGCATGGAAGGAAAATAGTGGAGACTGAATTTTTGGGCCACCAGAGTTGAGACTGGAAGGAGAGGATGGAGACGGTGATCAGGATGGATTTGAGTAGTCTGAGTTGTAAAGAGTCAGGTGTAGCTGGAGTAAATCTTTGTAGGAGGAAAAAGGTCTTTCAGGATACTGCTTCAAAAACTGAAAAAAAAAAACCCAAAAAAAACCCCAAAACTCCCCAAACCAAAAACCTTTCCCATTAATACTCTTAGAATGTTAGACCTATTCGGTAGACCTCATAGGGAGAAGTGGGTTTAAGGTCTTTCCCCACCTTTCTGGGCACCATCTAATGTCCATCATGAACAAAGGTCAAGCAACTATCTATAGAGGGAATGCTGGAGGGAGGATAATGACTCAATGACTGACTGATCAATTCATTCATTCATTATTTCACAAAGTGAATGCCTTTTTTTTTTTTTTTTTGAGACAAGGTCTTGCTATATACCCAGGCTGGCCTCAAACTCGTGGTGATCCTCCTGCCTCAGCCTTCTGAGTGCTAGGATCATAGACATGCACCACCCCACCTGGCAGTGAATGCCTTTTTGGGAGCAAGGAGGATTGAATGTATTGTTGTTAAGTCAAGATGACAGGTATTCATTCATTCAGCTTAAGTTTCATTTATTTCTCTCTGAAGTTATTGAAAGATTTTTTTTTTTTTGGTACCAGAGATCGAACTTGGGTCCTTGTGAAAGATTTTTAATAAATTTACAATGAACATTTCCTGTGATGCTGTGTGTACGCATCAGGGACTGTGTTAGGTGCCGGGAATACTGAAAGGCATCAGATGGACAACGGTGACAGCGAATTTAAAGCCTGAATATTTCTTTTCCTGCTTCTGGCTTTTGCTTTACCAAAAGGGAAACTATTTCTTCTGGAACAGAATAGACAAATGGGCAGCAGCTGGACAGAATCACAGTTGCTTTCCAGCTGTTGTGCTAGCTGTGCTGCACCAGTGGACCCCTGCAGCTGTCTCACTCCTGCTCCCACCAATCCAGAATCGAGATATTTTTATACTCAGCTCCTGGCGTAACCCGGTAGGGAATGGACTCTTTGACGCTGAATTTGGAACCAAACATATTCTGTATTTTTTGAAACCCACGTACAAGGTGGCTGCTTCAATGAGAACAGACACGAGCTATGAAGTGCCCCAGGGATTTCTCAGTGGAGGAGTTGAGCCTTTCACCTCAGATGAGGAATCACGGACACAGGGAGAATGCAGGACTGACCCAGCGTTGTCTTCCACACAAAGGACAGGCCAGGGCTCCTCTCCTCTCCTAGCTTCGGATTCATGGTCTTTTCATGAAGCCAGTTGCGATGTCACCCGCCAAATGAACGCAGCTTTTAATCTCCCTCATCAAGGGACTGCTGACTCTGTGGCTCATGTGTATTCGTTAGGATGATTTCTGGGTGGTTGATACTCATCACCCTCGACTTCATTTCTTTTTTCCTTTGCAAAATGGCTTTGCCCAGAGCTAGCATCTCTCTTCCAAAAACTTAATGTGCCAGAAGGGGTTTTGGAAACTGCCTTGCTAGCTGCCAGATGATTCACAGCAACACACCGATACCCGTAATGAGGATACCTGATTGGATTACCAATTAGTCTCCTCCACCTCAGAGGGTGGCTGGAAAGAGGAGCACAGGCAGTGTTTAGTTTGGGCAAATACCAAAAGGGCTTCATCACACTCATCCGGGCATCAGCGCGGCACGCTAGACCTCTTGCAAGCCGTTCTACTGAACCACTCTCTCCAGATGCCCCAGCAAGAGTGGACTTGTTATGCAAACATAAGGTTATTGTGTCTGAGCTACAGAAGCACCTCTGTGTCAGAGAGAGGGAGATGCTGGCTGGCTTGCATCTGTTGTTAATGCTGTCTCTGCTGCTGGGAAATTTTGGGAGCTGCCAGTAAAATTTTCCCTTTGAAAACAAAGCTGACCTAGAATGTGTTATCTTACCTTCACCAGAGGGAAGAGCTTCGGTCCTGGAGAGCCCTAGGAGGGACAGGCAGGTGTTTTCTCCATCCGGACCCAACAGGAAGTGTCCCAGTGTGGGATCTCTGGAATCTTCTTGGAAATAAGCACAAGCATGGGCAATGTTAGCATTGGCACAGGGGAGAGAGGTTCCCCTAGTCCCTGGTGGGGACAGGCACATGGCTGCTAGTGTGTTCAGGAGCCTGGAGGACACAGAGCAAGCCCTCCTCTGTGGGAGGCACAACAGGCTGGACCATGCTTTGGGGAGAGTTTGGAAAGGGCACCCCCTCTAGCATTCCAGGGGCTGCATGAGGCTGCTAGGGGTGCCTGGCATGATGAAAAAAGAACCTGTTCTGCAGGTGTGTGTGGCCCAGCCCCTAGGCACAGGGCTTGGTGACGCCTGCTCTGCTTTCCCTGCCTACCCGATGCCTCTGGGGTATTCAGCAGGCACAGCCGTAGCCTAGGACCAAATGCAGGAACAGTTTAGTGACTCAGGGGCTTAGGGACAGAGGAGAAGGAAACTATGTTTTCCCCAGTTACTTGTAAAGATGAAGGCATTTCTATAAATGACTATAAAGGCTTAAAGAAACCCCACTTTCTCCCCACTGTCCTTACACTCAGTGTAAAACACTTCTGTGATGGGATGTGTAGAGGTCTCCCCCCATCAAGCAAATCTAGCACATTGCAGTGTGGTATCCTGTACTTCAATCCAGTTCTGAATGGTCCACCCAGAGACAGTACCAGTGTCCCCCTGCTGAGGCTCAGTCCTACAAGATTGCTCCCATTGCTGAGGCTGATCACAAGTCCCTGCATATGGCCTGAGCTCCAGACCACCTGATTAGAAGCTGGGGTTTCCATGACTCTCTCTGAGTTAGATAGTTTGCTAGGATGGCTCACAGAATTCAGAGAAACACTTAAAGTTGCTGGTTAGGATATTAAAGAACCGAGATGGACAGCTGGAAGTCTTGGAGTTCGATGCGTATCACTTCCAGGCCCTCTCAGCACCCCCGCCCCAGCACCTCTGCAGAGCTTGATCTCCATTGTTCTCCCCTCTTCTTGGAGACCGTAGGTGGGGATGGAGGGTCCAACCCTTTTATCCTCCAATCCTTTAGTCCTTCCAAGGACTGGCTGGGACCTGAGCCTATCTAGGAGTCTTACCCTAAGTCACCTCTTAGCGTAAACTCAGTTGTTATCTAAGAAGCTCGCTAGGAATAAGAAAAGACACTAGAGATCAAATATATTTCATAGAGATCAAATATATTTCATATATCACCTTTTTCATTTCCAAGGCAAAGGGGCCAAGAGTAGGACAAGCTGCCAGCTAGAGGGGATGCTGAAAGGCACCCCCCATGATACACGTACTTACAAACACAAATATACATATCTTTACACAGAGGTGGAAGCACTTATATGTGCATAATATATGCATATGTACAGTCTCACATACACACGTGTGCATAACCACAGACATTCATAGCCATGCACATGCACTCATATGTACACTTATGTGTCATAACAAACAGTGACACACATAAACATTCACAGGTCCACATGCATTGATAGGCTTGCACAGTTGCATACATATACAGGGACTCACATGGGCTTATAAACATACGTGTTACAACTACTCATTCAGAGAGACGTGTGCTCTTACACACACATGCGCACACCTTATGAACACACTGGATGCTTCAGGCTTCCATCTTGTCAGCCTTGGCCCAGGCATTCTGTTCTAATCGGTCTCCAGTTAGAAGGATATCTGAGAGTAGATATGTGTCTGCCATGATTGGCTCCTGTCTGCAGGACTCCAGGATGGCCTTGGGGACTGTGCTGACAGGGCATCAGAATTAGGAGAGCTTGGCTGCCTCACAGTGTAAAGGGTTGGGGCAGAAAAAGGCTCCAATTCATGGTTTGTGAGTGTGAACAGTGGCTTTGGCGGGGGAGAGAAAGAGAAAGAGGGAGGGAGGGGGGAATATTGGGAAGAGGAGAGGAGGGAATTTGATTTTGATCACCTTGGCTTTAAACAGGGAAGCTGCAAACAGAATGGGGTTATTGATCTAAGTATTTAATTTATGCTTACAAAAATTCTACCACATCTGCTTTGGGGAGACAGTGGAGGAGGATGGAGTGGGGAGAAGCTGACTGATTTAAACAGAGGGTCTTGTCCCCCATTGCACATGGGATGAAATGTATGCTCCTTGTATCTGCTTGTGGGCTCTTAGCTCCCCCATCCTTGCTGAGTGTGAGCTTCTCACAGCCTGCGTGTGACTCTGCTGTGAACAGAGATGCCTCCTTCCTCGCAAACCTGCCCACACCTTCCCTCAGGCTTGCCAGCTCCTCCATCCAGAGCTCCTGGAGGATGGCAGCTGACTGGGTTGCCCTTTCTGACAGCAGCCTGTCTTTCTCCAGCATGGCGCTTCCCTTAGGAGTTTCAGAGGCAACTTGGACCCTCAGTAATCACTGTTAAGAGCTCCCTTCAGATCAAAGTCCCCATGGGCCCTGTGGCAGCTGCTGCTGCCCTGTCTGCACTGTGCTCTCAGATAAGCAACCTCATCCATTCTTGACTGTCAGATCCTTCACCTGAGAACTTCGAGGGAGGCTGAGTCACAGGAGGTATGGCCCTGCTCTGCTTCACCACCAGGAGACACCCAAGGTTCTTTCCCCTCTGTGGTTCGGCCTTGGCCTCGAGCTGGAGATGACTCTCTCTGGGGACTTTTCCTGTGGGCTGGGTACCCAGACTCCCCTGCCCGGGAGGGTGAAGGCTGGGTTTTGACTCCAGTGGTGTCTTCCCAGCTGTGTGTCAGGGAGAGGAAAGCACCACACCACTGGCAGTGTGTGCAGATGCAGCAAACCCTTAAAACCTGCAGTGAGAACATCAATCCCACTGACACTGTCATCGGAAACACTGCCAGTTTCTCGTCTCCAGTGAGTGATTTACATCATGTCTTCCATGTGACCCTGGACGTGAACCACATAAAAGCACCAGGAAGGGGCCCCCATGAACCCCAGGGATATTTACCGTGTCCTGGTGGTGCCTGCACATTCCAGGGACTTGTGGGGACCTGGGTGCAGCCAGGTGTCCCTGGGCTGACCAGGCTCCACTGGCTTTCCAGGCTTTTTCTTCCTGTAATTGGGGGCAGAAGGCGTGGTGGGGCGGTATCCTGGAACAGGGCATTGTCATCTTCAAAAGCAAAGGGGGAAAAGGCAAGGGTGAGGAAACTTCTGAATGAGCAGGCAGGAGAGGGAATTTCTTTCCTAACTTGGTTGTGAGCCCCTAGAGTTGAGGACAGTTTATGTACTCATTCTCAGGTTTGTTCCTTTTTTGCAGCCCTACTAAGGAGCAGTGAGCAAATATATCTTATAACCAAGATGAAATTGCATGTGGCAAGGTCACTTGGGGAGTTGCCCAGAACTGGGAGAAACTGAGGACTGGTGGTTGCCATTCTCTTCTCATGGATGGGACTCTGAGCTGGAAATAAGGTAAAACAGGCTACAAATTTCCTCCTTGCCCAGGCTGAGGGCTCTGTTTTGGGAGGCTCCAGCTTTAGAGATGACTGGATACAGATTTCTGACTACATTGTGATTCTGGTAGGTAGGAACCCATGATCACATTCCCTCCTCAAGGGACTGGCTCTGGGCACCCTGTGGATACCCGAATCCTCACATGCCCAAGTCCCTCTTACAAAGTGGCATAGTACTTGCATGTAACCTACATACATCCTCCAGTATACTTTATTGTTTTTTTTTTTTTTGAGACAGGGTCTCACTATGTAGTCGAGACTACCCTGGAATTCACTCTGTAGCCCAGGCTGGTCTCGAACTCACAGCAATCCTCCTGCCTCAGCCTCCTGAATGCTGGGATCACAGGCATGCAAGACCACACCTGGCCCTCCAGTATAGTTTAAATCATCTTGGGGCCAGGGATTTAGCTCAGTGGTTCCACTGCCTGCCTCAGAAGCACAAGGTCCTGAGTTTGATTCCCAGTACATACACACAAAAAAAAAAAAAAAAAAAAAAAAAAAAA